TGCAGCTATAATTCTTCACACTCGAATATAATCGATGTGCTTTTTAATATAATGAGTTTTTTAATTTAAAGTTAGTTTTTCTTTTACATAGAAAGAAAAATTTAATTTTTTTTTTCTTTGGCCGATATTTTTCAAAAAATCTGTGCGTTAAAGGGTTAAAACTGGGCCTCTCAACGTTAAAAAAACAAATAAATGAAATATATTTTATCAAATGTAATTCCATTTTTTTAGATTGTATTAATTAGAAATATTGTATAATCATATAGATATATTGCTATTGCTAATAATTTATATGCCAATAATATAGACATATTGCTTTAACTTTAAATATCTTTAAAACTTATTACTTACTAATTTATAATACTAACTAAAGCAATGGTTGCATTTTTTTTAACAAGTTTAAGGGCATGATCTGCAATTAAAAATTAGAGTATTCTTTTAAAGGTTTAGCTTTGTTTGAATAAAGCAAATAGTTACATAGTTTTGGGCAGCTGAAAGGTCAAAATAAAAAAGCTATTGCTATTTTTTTTATTATCACANGTAAATTTAACTTATTTTTTTCAATTTTTTTTTCGTTTTATCCTTTTGTGGTCTTTACTGTAATTATATATATATATATTATTTTATTAGATTATAGTTAGGATTTTAAAACTTACTACTATAAAACTAAACAATTTAAAATAAACGGTGACAGAAATGAAAAAAAAAATTTTTTTGCACTGAAAAGCAAAATTTATGAAGAAATTTTACTAATTCGTTGAGGAAAAACTTCAAAAAAAATATACCATTATTATTGGAGCCAATGATAGTTAATTTTGGTAATAGTTACTAATTGAAGTAAAAGAATAAGCTATGTACAAAACAAATCGTCTACTAAAGCATAAAAAATCGCCAAACCATTAGGGACGTCAATGATCTTTAATTTGTCATCCACGAAGGCAAATTTCTCCCAACATTTGATCCAAGAGTTCTCTTGTCTTCTGGATTGGGTTATATGGCTACGAAGGTCTGGATTGGATTATATGGCTACGAAGTTAAACATTAGTAATCGTAAACCCTAAATTGGGTCGGCTGTTCAACAACGGTAACCGGCATTGAATTGTCGACTAAATTCTAAATTTAAGACTATCAATATTAAACTCCATATTCCTGTAGTTAGGAAGCAAACCCAGAAAATTAAAGAAGTCCTGAATCAAGCATTGGGATAAACAAGCCTTCGTGCTGGAGCTTTTTATGGAACTAAACCCTATTCGCGTTACATAGAGAAGAAAAACACGAAACCCACTCACGTTAGCCTAACGGTGGAAGGATTCCAACCCATGATCCCTCTATCACTGAGAAAATTTTAACGTCAATACTATGGTCGGTGCGAACCGGGGGCAGAACTCGCATAACCCAACCACAGTTAGGATTCGGACGCGGTTGGCCTAGTTGAGAGACGAATGCTATGCGATACCCCGAGCTATGCAGCCCCGTAAAGACTAATTGAAATTTGGAAAAATTACTTGAAATTTAAAAAAATATGGTTGTAGTAAAATTAATGAAGAAAATTTATTTATTCGTTATGCGGAACCGTAAATAGTCTCCTTTTATTATTGACACCAATGATGCTTAATTTCAGTAATTGGTGCAGTTTTAATAAGCAACAAATATACTCTTATATAGGTTCAAAGTCATTTGGATCTTTTATAATTATCTGGATAACTAAGAGTAATTAGTCTAATTAACAGTAAAAATATGTAACATGTTTTTAAATTTTTAGAACCACGAGTTCTAAATGAGATAAAGAGAAAAACTGTCAAAATTTTGCAATTATGAGGGCAATAAGCTATAATTTACAGTAATGCTAAATACAAAGTTTTAACTAAGGTTAAAGTGTCAATTTTAAATCATGTGTTCGTTACAAAATTAATCAAAACGCTAAAAATAAATATCAATAATGCTATAACACGCTTTTACCGAGAAAGGAATCTCATAACTTGACCATGTGTTCCTTATCAAATATTAAAAAACTAAAAAAGTTTCACTCCAATATTGCGTAATTGTCGGGGTAGTAGCCTAATGGACCCTATAACTAACCCACATTTTTTTCCCCAAAATAGAAGTTTCAAATTTGGTTCAAATGTTCCTGATAGGATAATGAGAAAAAATTTTAAAAGATTTATTTCGATGCTTTATAACAGTCGCTGAATAAGCGACACAACTTTGAGTTGACGACTACCAATGCTCAACTCCATAGCCCAGTAATTTTAAACCCAATCAAGACGACAAGGGAACTCCTGTATTAAGCATTAGGAGAAATTTACCTTCTTGGAAGACTAACTTTTGATTGAACTAACCCACATTTGAGTTACACGGAGAATAAAATCGCCTCCCAAGGTTAGCCTGACAAGAGGACTAACCAGTGATCCCTCAACCACTGAGGATACGGGCAATATACTAGCTATATCAACGTAATGTTTACTGTGTGGTACTGTGGTCAATGAAAGCTGAGTACAGAAACTGTATAGACCAGCCATTGCTGGGATTTGAAAACAGTGAACTTATTTAGATAAGGTGATGAGCTTACTATACTGTAATGCTAACTAACACATTTTTACTAAATTAGATGAATACATGCTAGCCGACAAACTGGCTGTCGCAAGTGACTAGTTATTGGGAAAGGTGACTGGAATTGTGAAATAAAATGACACAGCCAATTATTAAACACAAAAATTCATTACACCTAATGAAGCATAATTTCAATACACATAAAAATGACAAGAACATTTACACAAATAGTAATGGTTGAAAACTGTTACAAAAGTTAAATACTGAAGAAAAATATATCTTTTCAATGCTATCAAAAATGTACTCTTTTTTTTTTTTTAAAGCTTCCACTTAACATAGGGTGTGGATGAAAGAAACAAATATATACACCCATTAAAAGCCATCGACACTCAGAAACAACAAATTGGAATTCTATTAATATCACTTGATTTTATCACAGATTAATCCACATCTTTATGTTTTATTTTTTTTAAAAAAAAACAAATATTCAGAATTGTTTATTAGTTGAAGTTTTTATTTTTAAAAAATGCATATTGGAAATTTTAGAAAATTTTAAATTCCACACCCTTAGTTTCATTTTCAACTTCATAAACATACAACTGACTTTTACAATAATACAAATCATGTATCACAAGCCTCTACTCTTAAAAAATTATGATAAAGAAACAATCATTCTTAAAAATAATACTGTGAATCGCACATAACTAATCAGATATTTCATGTTTTTTTTAAAATTTACATCTTCAATTTACAATAAAAAGTTAAGGAAGATTGAAAATCAATAATATTCATGATTTGTAAGAATGGAGTTGGACCTGTTCGTTATTCTGACTTTCCCTTATAAAGAAATACAATAAAAAAATATTGCATTCTGGGTAGCAATATAAAACATATTTTAAAACAAAATACTTTGAAAATGTTGTGGTTTTTAACCCACAGTTAAAGATACTTTTGGTTTAGCATTCAAATAACAAAAACTTGTAACAAAAACTTTGTTAAATTGAATGCAATATGTTTGTAAGCAAATAATTGGACATTGCATTACGTATAGACCGAAAAACTGTTATACTGCAAAATATATAAAAATAAGTGGAAATACACCATGGAGAAAATACCAGTGATAGGTAAACAATGACACTTTCACATACATACACACACACAACAATGATTAAGAGAGATTCATTAAAAAACAATGTATCTATTCAACATAAAGCAATGATGATGGTCATGCTAAAATTGTAAAACTGATTTCTTTTAAATCTACATTTATAATATAAATAGCATTTTAAACATGATAGCAAAAACTGCATAATTTTACATTCAAATTTCAACATAAATATTTTAAAAAAATTATGTTTTGAAAATTCAGAATTTTGAGTATAGATTACTATTAATTTAAACCTTAGTTAACATTACAATAAAAAAAACTGTCCTTATAAATAGAAATTTATAGTAAAAAAAGACTTAAACAATAAATTTTTAGCATCTCAAAAAACTAATAATAGATCTAGAATAATCTAGTTTATATTATTCTTATCTTTTAACTAGAATAGATATTTTCAAAGCAAATATAATTCTAGTCGTTGGGATTAGAAATATAGCATTTTGAATTAATGATGGAAGTTAAACTTTTCGACTTTGTTAGATAAGAAAATATTTCATGTTTTCACAGATACAGTTAATATTTAGGATTTTAAAAAAAAATAACACACGCTGAGAAAGAAAATGCAATATTTATGCAGTTAAAAATCTTGAAATCAATAGATTATACAAAAAAATTTTGAAAAACCTCATCAAAAAAATTTTATATCATTCCAAAACAGTAAATCTTAAATTTTTGATAAAACAATGAATAATTTTTCTCGATACAGCACTCAGTGAAAGTTAGAGAGATTCTAATATCTAAAATAAATGGCAGGATGCTTTGTAAAAAAGCAAGAGGTGGTTTGAAAATCTTTAAAAATTTTACTTTTTTAAATTGCAGGGTAGGGGAAGTGAATTTAACACTAATGCTCGATGCTGGTAATAGATAAGTGCACAAAAAAAATTACATATTACTGTCGTACTCCCTATCGCTAATAGATCTATAGCAATACTATTTATTTCAAGAATGAAGTGAAGTTAAAACACACATAAACCAGACAACACTGCTTTCAAGTAAATAAAATGAAACAGAATGGCTGGATAATACAAGAGATAAATTAGTAATATAAATAATACACTCATATCTCCGTGAATAAATTACCTAATCAGAAGTAAAACAAGGTTAAGATTACAATAAAAATAATAAAAAAGATAAATAAATGCTAACTACTGTCTAGTATTGTATATAATGCTCATAAAATAGATCTTGAAAAGCAAGGTGGAAAAAAAAATATCACCATTAAAGAGCTACACTAAAAAAATAAGCAAAAATAAACTAACTAGGTGAACATTAAAAAGGGGTTTTCCATTTCATTAAGCATTAAAAAATCAAAACATGCTAGTTAACTATAAGTACATTTAAAGAATCTGGTTTTAAACTGTATTCATGATTTTATCAGATTTTGGAAATAGTAAAAGTAAATATATATATATTAATGTAAACAAAAAATATATATTTAGTTTTTATTAATGTTGTTTCAATACAAAAAGCATACCCTGTGTGTAATTAATCAAAAGTATAAAATTTAAAATTTTATAAAATTCAAAGCTAATTCTTAATTATTTAAGTTTTTTTTAACAGAGGCAAGAATTTACAATTATTGGGAAGGAAGAAACAATGCAATTCAGAATTTTCTTAAAATACATTAATTTTTACTTACCTAAATGAAATTTGGAAGATAAAATTTTAATTAAACTTTAAAGTAAAAATTCTTTACGTAAAAAACTTTAAAGTAAAAATTATGGTTGAGTAAAAAATACATTTAAAATTAAAAACATAATTCAAAAGCAAAAAAATTTTTTTTTAATTTTTTTAATTCTTTTTTTATAAAAATGTTAATAAAATAGTATAAGAAGAATTCCCTTTCAATGTCACCAAGTTAGTTCTAACTGTAAATCAAATTTTAAAAAAAAAATCTTTTAAAAAATCTTATCACCAGCATTTTACGGTGAGCATCTAGACCACCCTGCATTTTTATTTGGGATGCTTCAGAAGCTCAGCATAGCTGCTAACTGTGCTCTGATTACTATCAACATATGGCACCAAACTTTCTTGGGAAGAATTGGGCTCAAATGGGGAGGGCTCCCCTTCATTTGGGGATGAAGGTGGTGATTGGTCAATGACAGGATTTTCATCAGGATTAGGATCAACTTCTTTATGGACTATAGTGGCATGATGACCAAGATCATGCCGGCGATTGTAATCCTCGATAATTGCAGCTGAAGAGGCAAGGTCGTGACGACGGTTGTAATCCTCAATTAATGTGGCTGGAGGGGCAAGATCGTGGCGGCGGTTGTAATCTTCAATGATCGTAGCCGGAGAGGCGAGATCGTGGCAACGATTGTAATCTTCAATGACAGTAGCTGGGGTGCTCTGTCCAGAATCAATTGAGTTGGATTCAGGAGGGATGTCTAAGATGATGTGGCGCAGGTCTTCGCGCTCTGATTGAATGGGTGTGCCGGCACGTGTGGGTATGAGAGGCTCTCCGACGTCACGTCTACCATCGAGCATCTGATCGTGCAAGCTTTCGGCAATGGAACTAGATATGGATCGTCGGTTAGGCGTCTTGAGAGTAAAGCCTGAGAAGATGCTACCTTCCTTTTTGGGTGTCTTGGGCGTACCAGTCAAGTTCTCATTACTGGAACCAATTATCATGTTGAGAAGTTTGGCACCTGGAAAGTGCTCCAGAAACCTCAACCCTGACTGTGAGACATTATCTTCCCCATTAAGATTAATTTTACTTCCAGCAAATGACCTGAAACCTGGAGACAGTTCATTTGTTGGACTTTGAGGAGGACTGTTGTAATTGTTGTTGTCATTATCTTCTTCGAGAATTGTTTCCATAGGAACAAATTCTGCCTCTTCAGGGTCAATGCTAAATAAAGAAAGAAATGTATTTATAAAAGACTGAAATACCATGCATTATTTTTAAAGATAATTTTTTTTTTCTAATCAAATTTAGATTAAATTTCTTGAAATCAAATGTTTATTTTTTGAGAAAATTAGCATGCATTTTTTTTCCCTTTTATTCATACAATATAACATGACATACAATTTGCTACGGAGAGAAAAAAATTATCTTTAAGTTGGTAAAAAATAGAAACAAGTACAAAAGCAGTTCATAAATACTGCCTTAAATCTGAAAATATCAACATTTGATGTATCGAAACATCAAAAATCAGTTCAGAAAATGCATTTTTTAATTAAAAGCTACCTCATTTAGAGACTTAGCAGTGTAAATTAACCATGACAAGTCTTTGATTATTAAAATTTAGAGGTTTTCTAAATATGTTTTTAAATTATGCTTTTTGTATTAAGAACTGAATAGTGAATTATTATTTTTAATAGGCAAGCAACAACATTTTTTCTTCTTTTTTTTTAAGTGAGCTTTGCAACGTCAAAAATGGGTTTTCTTTATTATAAAATAAATAGCGGGAAATACAAATTCAAGCATAAATTTTAAAATTGATAGAAATTATATAAGTATAAACAATACATTAAAAAAAATTTCCAGTAATTTCAGTTTGAGCTACTATTAATTGCTTCAAAACAAAAGTAAATTTTTACAAAACACAGTTTTAAAAATCTACATTTTGTTAATACTTCTTAATAAGAACTTAATGTTTTCAATTAAAGAGGTGTTTCAGGAATTTTAAATGCAGCAAAACAATTTTTAAAAAATATACAATTATGGACAACCTTTTAGTTCACCATTTAAATCAATTGATAAAAATTTAAAAAAAGATTCATTCTAATTTCTGAAATAACTAATCATATAAGATCTGTCTTCTAAAATTACTAGTAAACAAATAAAAGACCCACTGGTACACGTACATAAAATTTCAAAACAGGAAATTTCATTACATTCTTTTTATTTTTATTCTTTTTACATAATATTTTAGACTATTAAATATTCTGAAATCAGCAGGAGTATATGTTTGTTTTAATTTATACACTTTTATAAAACTTGTGAAAGGTCCTCCAGTTTCATGTAAATTTTTGACAATTCTGAAACTAACAAAATTTATAAGGCTACTCTTATTTTTATTTTTTTATATATTGTTAACTTATTTGTTAATAAAATTTCATTAAAAAAATCTGTCCATTTTTTAATGTATTTTTCAAAAAAAGGACTTTGAAAACTAGAAGGTTCAATTTAGATCGTACATCTGAATACCTAGACACTAACGTAGCAGTGATATAAAAAAAAAAATTTTTTTTTTTGTTTATTCCTAAAAATTTAAAAAAAAAGCTTTAGCTTTTTAAGTTTAGAAGCATTTGCCAAATTTTTAAAAAAAATTTAAATGCTTAATAAGAATATTTACTTTATTTTTTTAAATAAAAATATAAATTATTATCCTTAAACAATGCAAAAAAATAATTTTGTAAACATAAAAAAAAAACACACACACATCTAAAAATTTGAATTTAAAAATTAATATTTTAAAAAAAGTTTGATTAATAATGACTGAAAAAAGGATATTAAAGAAACTCACTCCAAATTAACAGCCGATCCAAGATGTGGCTGCGTTCTCATCATGAAGGATGATTTTGTGTAAGGAAGTTGAGGTTCAAGTTCATCCCAATACATGTCTTTAACGAGACGTGGATGTCTCTGGTGCATTTCATCCACAATCATGAACGACACCTATTCAGGTAATGCATAAAACATTTAGTATAAGCAAGTAAGAAATTTCTTAGTTATAAAATACTGAATTATCCGAAAATTCTTCAGATAATAAACAGTTAAAACAGAACAAATTAAACAGTCGCTCATAAAAGTTTATTTTAAATGGAAGTGTATAAATATTTGAATTAAGAAATCCAAGTAGGAATAAATAAAAGTTGTTAGAGAAAGGAAATCCTTAAAAATTATCATATAGCCATTGTTAAACATCATATATATATTTTTTTTTTAATTAACACTTGTAATTGTGAAAAATATTACAGATAACAATTCATCCTAATATTCCAAACTAACTTTTGGATCCAACAAACTCTTATGTTAATTTAAGCTTAGTACGTAATAGGGATGTAACGAATAGGCAGCCACTATTACTATTAGGCAGCCACTATTCTAATTATCCTAATATCTAATTACTTTTATCTTAAAAATTTCAATAAGTTTTTTTCACTTTACCCCGTATCAATAACAGTAAATAATCTCCTAACCTTACACTTGATAAATCTGAACTATTATCTTCTGCCTGAGAGATAATAAATTCACTGTTCTTGGACTCACTCTCTGAATGCATCTCAACTATTTTAATATACAATGGTAACACTAGTAAAAGCGAAATTAAAGAAAGTTCAAAATGATTTTGATTTCAATTCAAGGCAGGAAATCTCACTGCGAAAATTGTGAAGAATGTGGGACTAGTTACGCCATCTCTTAGCAATTTTCACATGGCATGCAAAGAGACCATACGGATATAGGAACGTCACTGTATGAGATGCGACACTGACATAGAAGGGGTTAAATTTTTGATTTGTAAAGGCGGCCTGTCCGCAATGGTGACCACATTGCCACCATTGGTCATGAAATGGGGGGAATTAATCTCCATGACCACCCTGGCTCCCTATCAGTTGTTCCAGGAATGTTTTGCTAAACCTCCTGTTGGTAGTAAATAGATTATGAATTCAAAAATAAAGAAATGCATTCTAAAGAATTTAGCAAAACCTAGTGCTTTCTAAAATATTTTCTCATGTAAAAACTTCCTAAGTATAAATTTTACCGTAGCTATGAAATAATGATAATGAAGTAAGAGGCAAATGCATTGAAAATATAGTTTTCACAAATTCAAGTGTTTCTGACAAATGGCTGAGTGTATATACATTTTCAATTAATATTGAGTTAAAAACTGCATACTATATCTTAAAACATAGAAAATGTACCTGTAAATTTCTATCCAAACACCAATTTAATTCAAAATCGTCATCGTCTTCTCCAAATGGATTTATGAGTTGTTCCGCAACCTGAAACAAGAAATTTATACAATTAATTTACACATTGTTCGCATTTAACAAAATAACGAACTCATTTTGAAAAATAAATAAATTTCAATTTGTGAAATAATTTTGTATGAAAAAAAGCATTTAAATTATTAACATACTTATCTAATAAAAAAACTCTCTGCTGTATGCGTTCATTGACAATCAAAAACTGTTAAGCTTGATAAATAAATCAAGATTAAAGAGAATAAAATAATAATAAAATGCAAAAATATTAAGAATTCTTCAGTTAGTCTGAAGAATCTTGTGCCTGAATTTAACACATTGCAAAGAATAGTAGATTGAATTATTATGCATCCTCAATCAATGTATTTTAACTAGAATTAAAATTATTTTCATTTATGAATTAGTGTTACAACATTATAAATCATTCTGTTTTCATTAATTTTTCCCTATATCTAACATATATCCTCATTAGCACATTTAACTTTTATTTTTATTCTCAGAATTTCTCATTTTAGCAAATAAAATTCCCTAATTTGTGGTAATCTGGGTTTTTACTGTCTGTCAAAGCCTTTTTGTCTTTCTAGGACAAAAGCTCTCTACTGAAAAAAAATTTAAGACAAATAATTTATTTAATGGAACACTGGCTTTTCATTAGTTTCCTAGATAGTTGAGTTTGAAATACTATTTTAAATGCTCAGAAATAGCGCACTACAATTAGTGAAAATACTGTATTCACTACTTTTTTAATAGTTTGTAAAGTAGTGTGCCACTCTTTTAAAAAAGTTTTGTAGTGAGTAATAAGATTTTAAAAAATAAAATATAAAAACAGTTTGAAGCGCTTTATGGCAACTATTTTTAACGTTACTTTAGTATATGAAAAGGATACTAGCAAAACTAGTCTTGAATTTGAGAGATGCAAATCTTAGCCGGTCTGTCAAAAGACGCAATTTTAAATGCCCCTGTGACTATGAGCTAACAAGAATTGCATATTTAGAGTCACATATAACAAATGTTTAAGCCAGCCAATACATATAATAGATAATTTACCACTTTGATCACACTTCCACATGTGAACGTACACTTGTAAAACATTGACGATATTACAAAGATAGGAAAGATATTTGATGTACTCAATTTCTTAGAGGAAATAAAAGAGCATTAAACACTTAACAAAAATGCAAGTATTTGATAATTTCCTAGCATCTCCTAAATTGGCTGTCAAGAATGGCACTAAATGAACAAATTAGAAAGAAAAAAANAGAATAACAAACTGCTCTTATAAACATGAATAAATATTTCTAAATAATACTACATGTTTAATATAAGCTAACTTTTCATTGAAAACTCCTTTGAGCATAATGTGTCAATTAATTTCTTCAGCAGAGTAAATTTTACAGGTGTAAAATAATTTCTCCAGCAAAGTTGGGTTCCTTAAAGTAATGAAGTAGTCACTACAATACCAAACTAGTTTGTAGTCACTACATTTAAAAAACAAGTTTACTATATTTGTAACAAAGTAGTTGTAGTAAACCACAAAAATGTAGTTTTTACAACCACTGGTTATTTTAAATGAAGACTTTATACATACTAAAGAGAACGTTATGTACTAAAGGTACCTTATACCCAAATCTACATAGGGTTATGAGATACCTCTGATGCCTCCTGTCATTCTCAATATAAGATTATAAAAGGCTAACAAATGAATAAGCACCTAAATTGGATCAAATTATAAATAGTCAGAAATACTCTACACTTTCAGTGACATATATTCCGAATTAGAGAGCAACAAAAAAAGAGGGGCCAATACATTTTTCCTGTGTTAAAAAAAAGACCAATATAAGAAGGAAAAAAAAGTAATTTCAACACCATTCCATACATACCTTAAGCCAACCCATGTAAAAGAAAAACTGCAGGAGAGTAAATATGGGTATGTATAAATCCACTTCATGTCCTGGATACCCTTTTTCAGGATCTAAATATTGACGGCCCATAACAGTGGCCAAAAAGTAAGTATAGATGGCTAAAGTAACAACCTAAGAAAGAAAACAAATTCATATAACATTTGAAATATTAGAGCACCACAGATATTTATATATTATCAATAATATCAAAATATTTTGCAAAATCTTTTATATTGAACACATAACATTAAACAGTATTTCAAAGGGATGTGATAAAACAAAGGGGAAAAATTTTAAATGTGTGTAAAACATTCATTTAAAATAAAAATTTGGCACAATCCAAAAATAACAAGAATTGGAGAATTAACTAATAAGATGAAGCCTTTTTTCTACAGATATTCAAATTCCTCATACATATATATATTAGCCTGCAGCTGTATTTTTTCTGTTTTTAACAAATATGCAATTAAATTTTTTTTTATTACAGTTGGTATAGTTGTTCTTTCTTTTTTTTTTCAAGCAATTAGATCAACAGCAAATTAGATCATTTTATCAATATAAAAGGTTACAAATGTTCTATTACAAAATTAAAAACATTTGATCATAAAAGAATTACAAATTTTGCATTAGATTTTACTTTCCTACTACAACTCTAACTCTGATACATGAAATATTATAAACAATGAATAAAAATAGCAACTTTCAAATCGTTGAACCTACTTAAAAATCAGGTCACTTTTTTGCAGATTATTTCATACATTATATTTAAGAACAAAACTCCTCAATATTAAAACTTTAAAAAATACACAGACCTTAAGATTTAAATACCCCTTTAGAAAGCAAATAAAGAAGAGTTCTTTTTTTTAAAAAAAAAATGTGCTTTATTTAATTCCACCTTTTTTATAACAGCAAAAAATTATGAAATTAATGAATATAAAAATTAAAATTGCTAGATACATAATACAAACATCAACTTTATGATTCCTTTTCAGAATTTCTGTATATCATGAAATATTTATTCCCAAAAATAAAATATTGAAGTAAGCATAAATTTTTTTAGCATATAAACTGTGGGAAGTATGCTATTGGCAATGTTAACCTTCATCTATGAAAAGGGATCCCGACATAGAGTGAAGTTAACATATTTTACACATTAGTGAATTGGAATTGAATAATTGTAGTGGTAGACACACCTCAGTACTTACTTCCCCATCTGAATGTTATCTGTAATAGAATTCGATAAACAGACATTAATTCATTGTTGTTTTGTGAGAAGCTGAGAGAGCTATATTAAGATCACCAGACTTTCAGTGCTGATTGTGAGAGCAGTATTAAATTCACGGTCGCTCCTGTGTTGCCATTAGCAGTTGAGAGTACAAAGACGAACGTTGTGTGATCGAGACTGAGTAGCAATGCAGCGAGGAGGTAGACAATGCCACAATCACACGTAGCAAGTCAACTTTGATAAGTACCTGACTCGTACAGCCCACACTGCTGACGTAAAATACCCTCAGTGGTAGACAGTTCATGGGTTAGAGTCCCTTTGCTGTCAAGCTAACCGCAGGAGGTTTTCGTGGTTCTCCGTTCCATGTAACACTAATGTGGATTAGTTCCATCAAGAAATCCTCCACAAAGGCAAATATATCCCAACACTTGATCTAGGAGTTCCCTTGTCTTCTGGTTTGGGTTCAAAATTACAAGGACACGGAGTTGAACATTAGCAGTCGTAAACCTAAAGATAGGGTCTGCTGTTCAACGACAGTTATAAAATAAAATGTAGACCATCTATCAAAGTAGGCATGTTCAAATCAAAGGTTGAGTTTCTGACAAGGTAGACATGGTCAGATTACGTTCGGGTTACCAGTGAGGGGAGTATGTAATGTTAACCCTTATCATACCCCAGCATAGAGTGGAGCTAACTAGTGAATTGGAATTTAATAATTGTAGTGGTAGACACACCAGAGAACATATTTATCGCACTTATTAAAAAAATGAATAAACATAATTACCTGTGTATACACAAGGGGAATGCTAATCCAATCATAGGAGAAAAGCATACCACAGTTTCCACGAAATACATGCATCTCCTAACAAAAATAACATTACATTATAAATAAAATCAAAAATTTCTCGAGTTAATAAACAAGTTGTGCATTGTGACAGATATTTATGCAAAAGAAAAAAAAGCAAGTGATCCAACCTGTAGAAATGCTCTACACTGCTGAGAACTATTTGTTCAGAACAAAGTATTCAAAAAAATTTTAATGTTAATGTACTGACAGGCATTTAAATACAAAAAGGAAATTTATTCTTTTTCCCTAAGTTACACATTTTTAATTCTATAAAGCTGAACAATCAGAATAAATAAATGTAAGAAAAATTGCTTTAAATTTTGTAAAAGTATAAATATTTTTTAACTAAATAAAAAAATATTTGTACTTTTACGAAAACTCTTAAAATAAAAATAAATAAATAAAACATAGCACAATTGCTTTTTGAGACCGAATAAACCATTATATTAAACCAGTTTTTAGAAAAACAGCCAGCCCTTTGATGTGCCTTTTTTAGAGCGCCTTTTTTGTAAAGATAAGCCGCCATCCCTTAAAAACACTGACTATCTATTCATATTCCATTTAAAAAAAATACTTAACTGTTTAAATAATAATAACACACAGATAAAATTATCTGTGTTTATAGGTTTAGTTCTGATTATTACAAATTCTTATTTTGTCACGATTATTCTCAATTTGTTAAATTTTTTAAAGTTTCTATTTTTCAAAAGGGAGTATATTAATAAATTTTTTAAGTGATTTAAAAAATTTTAAGACACTAAATTTTAATATCACTTTGAAATAATTTTTTTTAAATGCATCTTTAAATATTTATTTTTTCATAATTTTCAGTTTAAGTTAGAGAAAAAATCTTCAGTTGTTTAGAAATTAATTATTTTTCTTTAGTTTACTTTTTTTGGCACAGTTATGGAAGAAAAATAATTTTGGGCACAGTGATTGTCTTTCAGCATGCATTTTAGCATTGTCTTTTGAAAAACTACAAATTATTTTCTTTCTTGATTGTGAGAATTACTTTTTTAAAAACACACCTAAAATAATATAAGAGGGTAATTTAAAATTGTAGAGGATCAAATTCAGTTATTAACTAAGTTATTACACATTTATTACACATTGATGAATTTTTATGGTGGTAAGTGAGTGCCCTTTCAAAACTCAAATAAGTGCCTTTTTCTGTTAGGAAGCACTCTGCTTTTTTTTTTATTCCTGGGGAGAACTCTGCAATAATCAATTCAAAATTTAAATTAAAATTTCAAAAAAAAGTAACAATATTAGTAAATAAGTAGCCTCACAATTTCTTTAAAGACTCTTGTGACTAAAATTTTAAAATATCCATAGTAATAGAAAACTCACTCGGCAAAATTTAAATTTTTAAAGTCTGAATAAAAAAGGGGGCATCGTACTTGTAAAAGATCTTGGAGCAAGATGTCATCTTTAATTCGGCCTTCTTTTCTAGCTCTGGCAGCAAGTGAGCTAAACCATTGAGCAGGAACCCACCACTTTCCATGAGTTACGTGAATATCATCGTATACTCTCCTTTCTTCTTTGGTCATCAAACCTGAAGAAAAATAAAAGAACATTTTCAGATGATGTAATAAAAAACAAACCTTCATTACATACAACAACCAAACGGAGAAGGTATACTGTATTTGCATAGAAAATGTACATAATTTTCTAAAAAAAGCATTTAAGTAGCAAATAAATTTCTTAAATAGCATGAAAAATTACTAAATTAAATAGTTATGACTTTGAACTTTGATTTTCAATCCTGAGAGCTCAACTCCTCCTAATACTTAAAATTTCCAATCTTGTTGTTGTTATAGGCCAGTAAGCGTATCATTGTTTTCCAATAGTGTCATTTATGGCCAAGAATTAGACTTCAGCCACATCCATATCTCACACCTGCTTATAAGGCACACTCATTCGCACATTCATCCAAAAATCATAATTTTGATCTTAACCAGAAAACAATCTCCAATCCAGTACCCCCCGAAATTATAATTTGTAATGGGAACATGGGGGTCTGTAACCTGACGGATTTAACATCCACCATTTCCTACAAAAAAAGTTTTCGGTCGGCTGGATTCAAAATCCCGTTTTCCAAAATGTCCACTAACAACCAGATAAGATTTAATATCATATATTTTAATTTTATAATGTACAATTAATTAGAGTAAAAAGATACTATATTTAAGATTATATCACATAAATTAAATTTCTAATAATAAAATAAAATATATAATAAAATAAATAAATAATAAGTTAAAAATAAATTTCAAAAAATATATTTGTACAAAGTACTGAATTCGTGTTTAACCTTTAAAAGGAAAGAGCTAGAAATTATGGCCAATTAAGTTTTGCATAAGAGCTTTAAACATTTCTTTGTTGCAAAGCTAATTTTCCATCGAGTTTTTTTAATATTTCAAAATTGAGCTACGATGGCGCAGGGGATAGAGCGTTCGCCTTCCATTGTAATAAAATCCTTCTCAAATCCCAGTCGATACGAATTCCGCATCCAGCTTGCACCGGCCACAGTGCTGACGTGAAATATCCTCAGTGGTAGATAGATCATGGATTAGAGTTCCCTTGCTATCAGGCTAACTGTGGGAGGTTCTTGTGGTCGTCCTGTCCATGCAACGCAAATGCAGGCTAGTTCCATCAACAAGTCCTCCACGAAGGCAAACTTCTCCCATTACTCGACCCAGGAATTCCATTGTCTTCTGGATTGGGTTCAAAATTACAAGGCTATGGAGATGAACACTAGACGTCGTAAACCCAAAATTGGGTCCACTGTTCAACAATGATAATAAGATTATTTATAAAATATTTCAGTTCACTCAGTTGATAAAAGTCATAAGCAATTGAGAAAAATTTGTTTCCAAACATGATCCTCATATTTAAAGTGTGTTAATAGGTCAAAAATAGACAAAAAAATATGCAATTATGATAAACTTCAATAAGTTCAATTTTAAATAATTGTAATATTCATTTGAAGCACATGTATCAATTACCTGCTTCTTCTACATGGTCCAATGTAGGAAATCTTTTCTTTACAGAAGTACTAACTGCCTGGAATGTTAAGGCGCTCAGAAGAATCAAGTACCTCACTAGAGTTCTGCGAATGACTTTGCCCCTTTCATCAGAGCCATGAACATACGATGCAATCAACATAGACACTCTTAAAAATATAAACATTTCATTAGTTACATTTTTATGAAAAAAAATTTATTTTATTACATTCAGGGGTGATTGTGAGCCCAAGTCAAAATTCCGGAAAATTTCTTAAGATTAAAAAAAAAAAAATAAATAAATAAACAGTTTTAATTGAAAAATCAGAAAAAAATTTAAACGAGGTTTTTTTCCTTTTCCTCAATATTTCTTAATTTACTTAAAATATATTTAAAATTTTACACATACATATACCATTTACATATACCTATGATGATCTGGAGAAGTAATTAAAATTTACAAATATGTCTTTCTTTCTTGAGTTTATGATTATAACAACTATTTACTGATAAAAAATTAATATTAATCATGAATATAAGCTTATAAAGTATCTTTCCGGCTCGCCCTTACAAACAAATAAAATAAACTGCGTTTTTAAGTTCCACCTTTGAAAATTTGATTTTCGGAAACTTCTGTGATCAATGATTTTTTGAAATGTCTGAACCTTCGATCTCCGGAAACTTCCGGATCACTGTTATCAAAACTTCCGGAAATCCGGATTTTTTCCGGAGCACAATCAGCCCTGTACATTGAAATTGATTTTATTAGTCTTTTTTATAAATATTTAAAACTTGCATCTTGAATTTTTAAATAAATCCTCACACTAATTGTACATGTCAAAGAACTATAAAAAAAAGAAAAAGAAAGAAAGTCAGATCTTTAAACTTTATAACTTTTAGCATCTTGAATTGTACAATTTTCGTTTTAGAATTTCAATGTTTGTTTTTTTTCCAATTCTTAAAATTATTTATAAAATTTCTTTTACAAGTTTTGTAGTTTCGGTCAATGAATTCAAGAGCAACAATTAACACTTGAGCCAACAGCTTGTGCACCCTTAGAGCACTGTTAAACAATTAAAAATTTAAATATAAAAGATATATAAAGAAGTAACATACTTATCTGGCCAAGGAATGGCCATGTACTGTTGCCACCACCTCCCAACAACTATTGATACATAAAAACCCAGAACAAATGAAAGTGGAATAAGATTTGTAAATGCTTCACAATATATGGTCAGTTTTTCAAAAACACTGTAAGAGAGAAAAAAAAGTTCAGTAAGTATTTACATAAAAGAAAATGTTAAGACTTTCACATACAAAAAATTCTATTACAAGCTACCACTATAAAAAGCAATCATAATTTCTACTGATTGACAAACGAATACATTAAATAAAAATCTAAGAGAGTGACTTTATTCAGTTACATGTTTTTCAAAAAAATAAAAAATTGTGTTGGAAACAACCTAACAAAGCTGAAATTTAAAAAACTAAAGTCAGAAGCACTTTTTCCATGAAAATTTATCAACAAAATCTGGTCATAATTAGAAACTATAAATTGATAAAGTGAAAACTTAATTGCGTAAGAAATAAAGATAAAAATATTCTCATTTTCTTTTTTTTTCTTCTTTTTTTTAAGACTCAAACTGTTTGTTTTAGAAAGCAGGATTTACCACTCCCAGACAGTTAAACTATAAAGGAGAGATATGCTATGATGCACACTTTCTGGAGTTCTAAGACACATGCTCTACAAAGCAAACAATCCATAAAGTTTTTTCTCATCTTACTCCAATTGTGACGATTCAAAGCAGACATGAACGGAAAGTTCCCGGATATGAAAATATCAATCACGGATATGAATCAATTTAAACGGGCAATGACTTAAATAAAACCTAATTTTACTGAGCTTTTCGCTTATTTAAGTTTTTTTCTGAGTTACTCAATTTCCAAAATAAAATTAAAACAGTTCCTGATTCACACACTGTGCTTAGTTAAAGCTAGTGTTCCAAATTTTTCTTCTACATCTTATTTTGTTCCCTCTCATTCAGTTTTAAATTTAAGACTGAAATCAGTAAAAAGATCATAAAATTTTACACCTAATTACCAGTTCCAGAAAAGAAAAAAGATAAATTGCTAGTTTATGTATTACTTACTTAGAGCTAGAATAAATATATCAGGTAATTTTTAAAACTAAGTTTTATTTCTAAAATTAAGTTAGATACCAATACAATAAAAATAACAGGATGAAAAAATATTTTCTTTCAATACATCCTTTCAATATTTAAACAAATAAGTAAATATTAGGACTATTCCGTAACTGGCGACCATTAAAAAAATTACCAAACTATTATTGGTATCAGTAATGCTCAATTGTGGTAAAAAGTACCAAATATACCAAATACAGGTATTGTGGTCAGAGTGTTTTTATGGTAGCCAGAAACGGAATAGAGCATAATCAAATATTATACAGTAGAACCTCAATCGATCGTTCCTCGTGGGACCATTCCTTACGAACAAGACATACGAGAAAATGATAAATGAGTCTAAATTGTGGTTCCATTCCGTCGTCTCTTGCACTTTTTTTGGCTTTTGGCAACAGTTTCTGAACTTAAACACCTCAAGTTCCAACATTTTCATCAACTAATACACTATAACATCAGACTCACTATTTTACCCAAACTATAAAAAAATTCTTATTTTCTTAATCATAAGCATTAGGAGTTACTTTTTTCTTCTCAAAATGAAAAAAAAAAAAACTTTTTAAAAAATGTCAGTAAAATTTCTGAATGATAGACGCAGGAATTCGTTAATTTTCAAAACAATCTAAAGGGGTATCATTAACATTAAAAGACTACCATTTCTGGTGAGACCATTAAAGCAACATACAGATAAACATAAGATGTGGGAAAGATGGATACAAGTTAGACTGTAATTACAGCAATGATATAATATACTTACGTTCTCTGATTTTCAGTAAAAACATAACGATATAGTAAACTGAGGCTATAATACAGCCCACAGAAGATCACCATTTCACGATACAGCAGCTTGTAGATGCTTCCTCGCCATCTCACCAGCAACTTTGCAAAGCCGCAAAGTCGAGCTTTACTCACGTTTAAAGAATATGTGACAGTCATACTTTTTTATGAATGAAAACACTGAGTACTGAACAATGAGGAGAAAAAGGAGAAGTTCACAACAACACCTAACACTGGAATTTTCTGCAATGGAGTACAGCAATAAACAAACAGTTTTTTCTATTTTTTGATGAATAATGGCAAAAGTCTCCGCTAAAGGAAACAGAGTTCTTTTCAACATTTAAGTATCAAGCTGATTCATTATGTATCTGGCAACCACGTTGGACCATTCCTGGGTTGCAGAAAGCATATTCCCGTTACATGGAACAATGGGATAAAGATTAAATTCTTCCATGAGTAAGTTAGTCTTCAATCCAAGAATAGGTATTAAAATTGCAAGTAAAGAGGGAGATCGTCACTCCTAGAAAAGAAAAGAAAAATATTTAACACTTTATTCATCAGACATAATTATCTCACTTAAGAAAATAACTTATTTATTTTTATTTTCATTTTTTCCAACAGTTACAGACATCAAATGTTTATAGATTATTAGAGCTAAAACAAAAAATAAAAACTATTTTTTCAAAAATGTTAAGAAGCTTAAACTGAAATGCACACTTATATAGCAGTATTTTTTTTTTAAACTTAAATATTTTGTTGGGGCTATTTATGTATTATAAAAAATTGCAATATTAGGATTGTTTACATACTATAAAATAATGTTAAAATAGATTTTAAACTAAAACTCCAGCTCCATGTTCTTGAAAAACATGGTCCTCTAAAGCAAAACAAATAAAAATAAGTAAATCTTAAAATTAAAACTGCTTAAATATTTTTGATTATTATTAAATATTATAAACTGGAATTAAAAATTATAAGAGTTAAAAATATTTTTTTGGAAAAAATAAATTAAATTTCTATAAAAAAATTGTTTAAGGCCATATAATTTTAAAGAAAAAAAAATCACAGCTATAAAAATAAAAGTCAAACATAGGTCAATAATTTTTTACCCTACTACCCCAAATTTAAAAAAAAATACTAAAATTTTTTGAATTTGAAAATAATTTTCTGCAATTCCTCAACAAAGAAAAATTTGATTTCTACTTATTTAACTGGAAAAAAAAATCTGTAAAAGAAATTCTTTAAAATTTAAATACATATTTTATCAAGAAGCTATATTATTTCTCATACATACACTTTTATAATCTTTTTTTTCCTTCCAAAAATGTCTGACGATTTATAAAGAATGAATCTTTGCTCAGATAATAAAATAAAAACACTTCGAAGAATTTTCTAGAATATTTTTCAAAATATTTATGCTTTTAAATAAATACAAAGTCTTTTGTAATTTTCTGAACACTTAGATAACATCAAATGAAAAATTATTTAGATCAGGAAAAAAATTATTCTAAATTAGTCTCAGCAGAGCAAGTCTTAATTCATCTTTCATACTTAAATAAATGATTGAATGAAGAAAATTCGCGATTTAAATCCTGGTTTACATCTCTAAAACACATAAAATTCACAGCTAATTTTACTTTGTTTTAATACTCAAGCAAATAAGATTTAAATACGTTATAAGCATTTGACTAAAAATGGCACTATAAAATCTCCATTTACTCAAGAGTATGTGTAGTTCAACTTACCAATTATTTATAATCGTATTTTCAGCTCTAATATTTTCTCACACTATTGCCAAATAAAGTTTATTACGGCTTAGTGATTAAATGGAAGGTTTTAAAGTAAATTATCACAGTAAAATTACAATGAATGCCTCGTTATGAGGAGAACAAGAGAACCGCATCGGATGAAGGTAAAAGATGACGCAAGATGAAGGAGCAGATTCCAGATTTGTCTTTTCGATTATAATATAACTATTTCCCTATCGATACTTCATGATGATAAAGCTCACAAGATGGCAGCACGAGTACACTTTTTTTCTTCCCCAAACTTTTCTGTTCTTATTCGCTTATTGGTAATAAGAGGACTCGCAGGTTCAGGATGGTAAAATTCATGACTGAAGGCAGGAAGGAAATTATAGGTTTTTAGTTTTAATGTTAAAAACAGAAAAGCTATGGTAGTTATATGCAAACGTAAAATATTTCAAAAATGTTTAAACGGGAACATTAATTAATTTGCTTTGTCCCGTAAACGCTGCCTTTATACGTGGTTCCCAATTCCATTTTAAAATTTGAAAAAAGCAGTTTGCATTACTTTTTAAAGAAAATACAAACACTTCGTTAAAATATATATAGACATTTTGTAATAAAATGAATTTTTTTTAACAAATAATAATGTCTAAACCTTAACGCATAACCAGTAGGCAATATTTGCGTCGTCAGTTACAGTATGTCGCCATATTTCGATAATCAATTATTTATTATAATATACAAATGACGAATTTTGAGGCTACTGAAATGAATGAGGATATAAAGAGTAGAGTAACAACGGAAAAAATCTGATCAAACGAAGCTCCAAACTAAGTCGGAGGAAGAAAAAAAAACAGGAAAATCTAAAAGAAGGAAACATAATTATCTTTAATTTTTTTCAAATAAACTTAAGCTGGATTTTCAGTCTATTTAACAGAATCTTTCGAAACATGTAAAACACAAAATCTAACCCAATTAGATAAAATTCGCTATTTTAGAATTTTGATAGATTTTTTTAACAAATTTAAATCGAATCAACTTGAAAAGCAGCATTTTATTCAACTGTTTTTGGATTTTTGATAAATTTGTTCTTACGTAACGTAGTACTTAAAAAAAAAAAAAAAAAAATTCGAATAACTTTTCATCTAATGATCGGATCTTCACGTTCTAGAACTCATTCTTAAAGATTTGAGTGGGTTACTTTAAATATGCTAATTAGTTCATGCAATCAATATGCTAAGTTACTGAATGAGACACAAAAAATATACCTTCTCTGAATAAACATACCCTTTTTTCAACGGATTCCCAAAATATAGTGTGTAGCTGCAATTTGGGAAATGTGATCCCTATAGTTTAGTCAGGAGAGTGATCCAAAGTTTGGATCCCTTAATGTTAATTTTACTTTTTGCGTATTTCGTCATATCTCGAGAACTTTTTAAGCGAATTGAAAAATTTTGCACACAGTTATAAAATTTGTTTATCCAAATAAACGTCCATGTGGAAAAAAAAATTTTAAATATTTATTATTTTTCATTATTATATAGACGAAAATTTTTGAATATTAAAGTATACAACTTTTTAAGGTCATTTTAAAGTATGTAATTTTACAAGGCAAAATACGAAACTTGAACGAAATCGGTTAAATAGTTCCAGAGAAATCGAATTTTAAACATTCGAATTCTTTAAAATTCGATTTCTCGAGAACTATACAACCAACTTTACTCAAATTTTATATTTCGCCATGCAAAATTGCATATTTTAAAATGACGTAAAAAAATTTTATACCATACAATTCAAAATTTCTTTGACTATTATAATAAAATTTTTAAAAAAAATAATAATAACAATAAATATTTATTAAAAAAAATTTTTCGTATGGAAATGTCTTTGAATAAACGAATTTTATAATTGTGTGCAAAAATTTTTCAATTCACTTAAGAAGTTCTCGAGATGCGACGAAATAAGCAAAAAGTGAAATTCACATTAAAGGGTCCTAACTTTGGGTGGCTCTCCAGATCAAACTAAAGGGACCATATTTCTCAGATTACGGCTACCCCCTAAATTTAAAGAGTCAGAAATCCGAATCCGTCGGGAAAAAAGGTATGTTTCTTTAGAGAAAGTACGCTTTTTTGTAGCTGATTTTGTAACTTAAAATATCGTCAGCTGTAATTAATGAGCATATTAGGGGTCACCCCCTTAAACCATTAAGAATGAGTTCTAGAACATGAAGATCGGATCATACGATCAAAAGTTATTCGGGGCAATCCGTTTTATTTATTTATTTATTTTATTATTATAATTTCCTTGTGGCTCACTGTGCAGTGGAAAAATTCATCAGCATTATCCATATCCCTTAGTCCTGGTCCTAAGCACCCATAATCTCCAAATAATTACTGATAACAATAAAAGAAAGATCACTGATAACAAAAGAAAAATCACTGATAACCAAAGAAAAAATGCTGATAAAAGAAAATCACTGAAAACAAAAGTAAAATCAAAAAACAGGCAAAAGATGTACAGAAATTACTAATTAAAATGCATTAAATTTTTGAGAAAAGATCCATTGAAGTTCTTAAAACTATCAATTGCTATTTTTCCTCATATAATACAACGGCTATATTTTGTGGTTAACAGGTAAAATCAGATTTGAATGTGAATTCAACGCCAAAATAAAAAAAATTACTTTAAAAATAAAAAATTCAACAGAATCTTAATAAACACGTTTTAAAATAATCTGCACACAGAATTTAACATTATAACTAAAAAACCAGATAAAAATGAACGATCATCATAGCAATGGGAAATATTTACTCGCACTATTTAATGAATTCAAAACTAAAGATTTTCTTTTAGCAGATTAACATAGGTTTATAAACCTATCAAAAATAACAATGAAAATTCCTCAAATATGTTCCTTAATTTAAGGTAACAACAGAACGATTGGCCTGCCAAATTGAGATATTTTACGCATTTTATTTATTACGTTATTAAAATCGGGGGTGCAATGAACTGGTCCGCCGTTCCGGCACTATAAAGAATGTTAAGTTTCACCTTGGAATAATTTTTTTAACTAAAGGAAAAAAGAACAAGTTTTTATAAAATAAATTCTTAATGCAAATAAATCGTCAAGTAATACACACAATAGTATCTAATTGTTTTACAAATGTACTAAGTTAGAGCTCAATTGTGTCTGACGAAAACAATTAGCACATTTACGAAATCAGCTTTAATATAACCCTATATTTCGATTTTATAACAGTGATCATAATATTTTATTTACTAATAATTGTATCGAGAAATATTTGATAAAATAAATAACATTTCAGTGAAAAATTTTATATTTTTCAAGCAGTTCAAAATATTAGTTTTATTGTTCATTAATTCATAAATCCTTCAATCTGCAAGCTTCTATTAGTTTTTGAGAGAATTAAACTTGAATTTGTAAATAAGAATATTTAGAAGTGCTTTTTTTTCGCAACTGGAAACAGTCTACAAATATCAGAGAATTAAATAAAGCAGTCCCTGCAACAGACCATTGTGGGCCAGCGGGGTCACGGAAGTTAAAATAGGTATAGATAGGTACTTTATTTACGTCGCACTAGAGCTGCACAATGGTCTATTTGAGACTGTCTGGGAAACATCCCTGAGGATGATCCAAAGACATGAAATCGCAGTTTTGATCCTCTGTAGAGGGGATGGCTCCCCTGCTTGGTAGCCCGACAACCTGCATGTGCAGTCTAGTACTTTAAGGTAGAACAGGTTTAACGAAGGCCGATTCCGCGCACCCTCGGTCCCTACGGCAGGCTGATCATAGTGGTCACCCACACGCTTACTGATGGCAACCAATGATGCTTGACTTCGGTGTTCTACTGGGAACCGTGTATTTACGATCAATCCACTGCGGAACCTCATGGAAATTAAGGTTCCACAATTTAGTGATAAACGGCATATTTGTGGCTTTACTGACCATACAAGCTGTTACCCATTGATCTGAAGCTGGGTGGACTTCAAGCTACCACTGGGAATCGAGCCCCAGTCCTTTACAATGATAGTTCACTGCTTTAAGCAGTAAGCCGTTCGATAATAAAAAGAGGAAACTTAAATAAAACTATAATAACTTTAAAATTTCATAATTGTTGCGCTTTTTTCCTTTTCTCTATTTTTTTATTTCACACTTGGGAGATTTGCATTCCGCTAAAAAAATTTGCTAGCACTACTACGGTACGGATTCCACTGTAATGTCGCCTTTCTCTCATTACTACAGTTACCAAACCCATTTTTATTAACCTTTTACCAAAACAGACTGGAAGTAATATAAAATAAAAAAGTGGTATAGTAAAGTATAAAGTAACATAATAAAAAATTTATGATTGAATTTTGAAAACTTTAAATTATTTGAATATTTCAATTCTTTCCTAGAAACGTTTACGTAGCTGCAATGAAAATAATCGTCATTAAAATATGTGGAGCGGAGTAAAGAAAAGATTGTTCTATTAAATTAAGATGGTGGGAAACCTGTTTCTGCTACTTCCCGTTTAGAACGGATTATGATGAACAAAAAAACGAAAACCGGACATGATCATTCCATAACACGAGATATTGCAGAATACTTCTAATAATGAATAAAACTAAACTGGTTTAATATTAAGTCAAATGGTTTTACAAATTATATTTAGGAAGGTCTTAATTACATTATAATTAGGTTTAGCAATTTCTGAAAAACTAAAATAACTCCTAGAAAAGTTTCTAAAAAAGATATTCGAAAACTCACTGCTTTATCTCTCAGATTAAAAAATAAATTAATAAATAAATAAAATATCATTTCTGTTAGAGAAACCCGATCTGAGAATTAAGATCTTTCTAAAATAAGCCTAAAATTATAAATTTAAAATAAAAGAGTTTTAATAAAGAAAATAAAAATGATGGAATGTTGCAGTCAGGAAATTTAATTACAAAAATTTTTATTACTAATTTAGGAAAAAAATTGGAAATTATATTACAAAAATGCGTTACTTAATATTTTAACTTACTTTTAAAAAAAATCATACAATCAAATACATCAGGGCATATCTACAGTGTTACATATGCACAGCATGAAAGAAAAGAGGAACACGAGATTTTTTTTACAAGTCAAATAATTTTAATGCTAGTATTTTAAATTTTTAACATCGTAAATCACTAACTGCAAAATGGCGAA